CATGGAGTATTATGCAGCCATCAAAAACGATGAATTTGTGTCCTTTGTAGGGACATGGATGAACCTGGAAACCATCATTCTCAGCAAACTGACAGAAGAGCAGAAGATCAAACACTGCATGTTCTCACTCATAGGCAGGTGTTGAACAATGAGAACACAGGGACACAGGGAGGGGAGTACTACACACTGGGGTCAGTTGGGGGGAAATGGGGAGGATGGTGGAGGGTGGGGAGTTGGGGAGAGATAGCAAGGGGTGAGATGCCAGATGTAGGTGATGGGGAGGAAGGCAGCAAATCACACTGCCACGTGTGTACCTATGCAACAATCTTGCATGTTCTTCACATGTACTCCAAAACCTAAAATGCAATAAAATAAATAAATGGAAAAAAAAAAGAAAGAAAGAAAGAAGAAAATTAGATTTTTAGAAATTCAGGGCTTTGTTTTGCTTTTTCTTAGCTTTATACTTAAAAATTTCTTTCTGATATAATTTGAGTGGAATTGTTTTTCTAATTTTATTTTCAGATTAATCATAGCTAGTATATACAATTGCAATTGAATTATATATGTTGGTTTTGTCGTTTCACCTTGCTGAATTCATTTATTTGTTCTAGTAGATTTTAGGAAATTCCTAACAGACTTCTACATACAAGTTTATGAAAGATGCAATAAAGGACTTTTATTTTTTTTCCAAAAACAAACAGAAAAAGATTTGTGCGTTTAGCTCAGAAAAAAGGTAAATTGAAAAGTAAACAAAACAGTGGCAGAGGAGGAAGTTTTCGCCACACCTCTGAAGGAAGCGGAAGCCTCAGTAAAAAGTATTTTCAGTTTGCTGTCAGAATGGCAACAGCGTTGACTGCCTCAAGGTCTCAAGCACACGTCTTCACCGCGGAAAGCATGTTGTGGCTGTTCCGATTGCTCCTGCTTGTCTTCTGCTTTGGCCCAGGTAAATGTCAACGCAGACCCATGTAGTCACTAGTGACTCCCTGCTTTTATGTCACTAGTGACTACACGGGTCTGCATTGCTCAATCTAAATCGTCCGTATATGGTTGTCTGTCTGTCTGGCTCCCTGTCAAGGGATTGGGGTGGGGAAGGGGATGCTCGTGGTGGTACCTGATATAAGTACCACTCATATACCTCCTCTCAACTTTGAATGCCATAAGCCTGAAATGGTTGTCAGTGAACAATTTCAACTGTGTCTGTATGTAAGAAAGTTATTTGCTGGGGCAGAGGAAATAAGCTTTTGCAAAATAAGACAGTGGTATATGGCCAGCATACTGTAAAGAGTACCAAGATCAAGAAAATGAGCCCTCATACCAATTTAGCTACTACCTTACTGTGAACCTCAAGAAGGTTACTTATCCTCTCTGAACCTCACTATCCTCATCTTAAATATTAAAAACCTATTATTCAGTTGAGCCAAAATTTCTGGGCCCAACCAAACACACTAAAAATAATCCTCTCTAGCTGCAAAAAAAAAAAAAAAAAAAGGTTTCCATCTCTCCCCTCCTTTAGTGCAAATTAGGACGGAGTGCTTAGTATATTTCAAGTATTGTTTCAGGTGCTGTACACACATTATGAGTCTCATGAGAATTCTATGAATTTGTGTGATTATTATCTCCATTTTAAAATAAAGAACTCGGGTGAAGGTAATTTAAATAACTTGCCCAAATTTCATTAGCCAGCATGCAGCAAGCTCTTGTAATAGTTCTGAGAAACAATGACAACCGAATGAGTGTGGCAGCAGCATAAAAGACAGGATGGAAGCAAGAGATCCCATCGATATGGAGTTAAGTAGATTAATTGGCAATTGGAATGAGGGGGAAGGAGGATTTGTTAAGTCGTTTAATAAATATTCATCGAGCACCTATTGGATGTCTGGCACTGTTCTAGTTTGCATGAATACATCATGAACAAAGCAAGCAAAAAAATCCCTGCTCTCGTGGAGTTAACATTTTAGCAGAAGACAAACCATAAAAACAAAAAAAACAAGTAAAATAATGTATTGAATAGTGATAAGGAAGAAATAAAAGTAGAAAAAAGAAATTCAAGTAGAAAAGAGAGAGATGAAATACGGTAAAGAGGGCAGTGAAATTTCTGACAGGATAGCCAAAGAAAGTGACAAAATTGGAAGGTGGAGAGCAGCCACAGGAGGAAGGTGAGTTCAGTTTTGGACCTGCTGATTTTAGGATGTCGGTGTACTATCCATGAGGAAGTTACATGAAAGTTCCTGGGAATTTAGGACTAGGAGTAGGGGTGAGTCTGGAGACTTAAAAATCAACAGCATAGGGGTAAGTTAAACTAAGGAGAAAACTGGAATGAGAACAGAACTTTGGGAAATATATATACAATGCAGAAAGAGAGAGAATTCTTGCTTTCGTTCAAGAGCCACTTCCTGACCTGGGAGCAGAATCTTGAGTTTTTGTTTCATTTTTACCTCCCTGCAAAATGAAATCCACCTCTAAAATAAAAATATTCTGAATGTCCTCATGTTAAAACTCCTCTTCTTCTCCCTATTTCCATGAATACTTCTTATAGTGACTCTATGAAATATACAGGGCTCCCATCTCCATTTCACAGATGGGGAAAGAAGGCACAGAGCACTTAAGTAACTTGCTTACTGTCCCACAGTTATGGGGGAAATGGGTATAGAAAGAGAAACACATTTGAATGTGTTTGCAGGAGGCAGATGCAGGTGTTCTGAGGCCCAGGAGGGGAGAAGTGGCTGCTAGAACTGGAAATCAGGGAGCCTGGCTCTGAAGTGTGTGCTCATGACCACTTCATCATATTACTTAGCTTACACACAGTCACATGTTCACACAAATGCATATATAATTAGAAAATGTGAGGCCAGCAAGAAAATAAGCAGGGCACCTTGATAGAGAAAAACACAGGGACCTGCTTTAAACTGAGTGATGAAGAAAGGACTTTCTGAAAAAATAACATTTCATCTCGTATTTAAAGAGTGTGAAAAGTTAAACAGGAAACGTCAAATGAAGAAGCTTTTAAGGCAGAAGGGATCATGTGAGTAAAGACCCTGAGGCAGGGAAGAGCTTGGAGCAATTTAGGAAGGGAAAGAGACCCCTGTTGCAAAAGTGCAGGGCAAATGAAATCAATCATGGAAACAACCATGAAAAACAATGACTCATGCCAGCCTACATTCTTTCCAATGAATGGGAAAGAATCGTCCATTCTTTCCAAAGAATGGGCGCTATCCAACTCGCCTTGTTTTAGAAAATTTAGCTGAAAAGAAAAACCTTGTTGAAAAATAATCCTGTTTCCTTTAACTGAAGCCCTGGGTGGCAAAACTAACAGAAAAAAAAACAATAATTATAACTGAAATCAAGCATCATGACATCCTAGAGAAAGTGAATCTTGTTTCTTCATTTTAATTTCTACAGATAGAAGCCTGTCAGACTTCAATGGTCATATAAATTACTTGAGGGAATCTTATTAAAATGCTGATTCTGGAATAGGGACTGAGATTCTGCATTTCTAACAGGCTCCCAGGTGACACCAATGCTCCCTGTCCATGGACCACACTGAACAGCAAGGTCCTAAATTCCACTGGACTTCAGTCACAGTGAGATTTTAGGGAGGGAGAAATGGGAACTAATTTTTGAGTGTGTTTGCAGGAAGCAGATATAGGTATTCTGAGGTCCAGGAGAGAGCAGCCAGTGGTTGGAAATAGAAGTAAAGCCAACCCATGAGAGCTGATTCTGAGGTTAAGTCAAAATGCGCAATGCTCTTCTGCAAAGAGATTGTGATCTAATGGCTCCCTGAGCAGCATTATCTACTTTTTGCCAATCATACACATCTTTAAATGTTTACTATTGCTCAACAGGTAGAGAGCTGTTTTATATTTTTTCATTATCCTCAAAGATGTGTGTTTTTCTATCCCTCAGAATGTGCAATCTCCAATGCGACCTCCAGTCATTCATACCTCTGTTTTTGGTCCCTTAACCCAGATTCAGTTTTAGTTGTTTCTCTGTCGACACTCAGACATTTTTTATTAAGGTGAAATTCTTGTAACACAATGTAATAATTTTAAAGTATGAAATTCAGTGGTATTTTGTACATTCGCAATGTTGTGAAACCACCACTTCTATTATACTAAAACATTTCAACACCCTAAAGAACGCCCTGTACCCACTAAGCAGTCATTTCCCATTCTCCCGTCCCCCTAGCCCCTGGCAAATACTGATCTGCTTCCTGTCTCTGTGGGTTTACCTATTCTGGGGAATTTCATATAAACTAAATCATACAATATATATATAACTTTTTGTGTCTGACTTCTTTCACTTAGCATCGTGTTTTCCAGGTTCGTCCATGTTGTACCATGTATCAGTACTTCATTCCTTTTTGGCTGAATAATATTTTATAATCTGTATATACTACATTTTATTTATCCATTCATCTATCAATTGACATCTGGATTGTTTTTGCCTTTTTGGCTCTTGTGAATAGTGCTACTATGTGTACAAGTATTTGACTACCTGTTTTGTTTTTGTTTTTTTTTTTGAGTCGGAGTTTCCCTGGTTACCCAGGCTGGAGTGCAATGGCGCGATCTTGGCTCACCGCAACCTCCGCCTCCTGGGTTCAGGCAATTCTCCTGCCTCAGCCTCCTGAGTAGCTGGGATTACAGGCACGCACCACCATGCCCAGCTAATGTTTAGTATTTTTAGTAGAGACGGGGTTTCACCATGTTGACCAGGATGGTCTCGATCTCTTGACCTCGTGATTCACCCGCCTCGGCCTCCAAAAGTGCTGGGATTACAGGCGTGAGCCACTGCGCCCGGCCGACTACCTGTTTTTAATTTATCTTGGTATATACCTAGGAATGGAATTGTTGGATCATATCACTCTAAGCTTAACTTTTTGAGGGACTGCCAAACTGTTTTCCACAATGGTTGTACCATTTTATATTTCCACTAGCTAGGTACAAAACTTATAATTTCTCCACATCCTCATCAACATTTGTTTCTTTCAACCTTTTAAAAAAATTATTATCACCATTCTAGTGTTATTCTGATGGGCTTCCCTTTGTAGGTGACTTGGCCTTTCTCTCTGGCTGCCCTTAACATTTTTTCCTTCATTTTGACCTTGGAGAATCTAATAATTATGTGTCTGGTGGTTGATCTTCTCATGGAGTATCTTACTGGGGTTCTTTGTATTTCTTGAGTTTGAATGTTGGCCTGTTTTGCTAGGTTGGGTAAGTTCTCCTGGATCATATCCTGAAGTACGTTTCCCAACTTGGTTTCATTTTCCCTGTCTCTTCTAGGTACCATAATCAGTTGTAGATCTGGTCTCTTTACATAATCCCATAGTTCTCAGAGGTTTTGTCTGTTCCTTTTTATTCTTTTTTCTCTGATCTTGTCTGCCTGTTTTATTTCAACAAGATAGTCTTCAATCTCTGAAATTCCTTTCTCCACTTGTTCTATTTGGCTATTGATGCTTGCGATTGCATTGTGATGTTTTCATGTTGTGTTTTTCAGCTCCATCAGGTCATTTATGCTCCTCTCTAAACTGGTTATTCTGGTTAACAGCTCCTATAATATTTTATCATGGTTCTTAGGTTCTTTGCATTGAGCTAGAATATGCTCCTTTCGCTCATCAAAGTTCATTATTACCCACCTTCTCAAGCCCACTTCTCTCAGTTCATCTATCTCAGCCTGAGCCCAGTTCTGCGCCCTGCTGGAGAGGTGTTACAGTCATTTGGAGGAGAAGAGGCACTCTGGCTTTTTGGATTTTCAGCATTCTTTATTGATTCTTTCTCATCTTCCTGAGTTTATCTAGCTTAGCTCTTTGAGGCTGCTGACCTTTGAATGAGTTCTTTTTGTGGGGACTTTTTTGTTGATACTGTTGTTGTTGCTTTCTGTTTATTTTTATTTTAGTAGTCAGGCCCCTCTTCTGCAGGGCTGCTGCAGTATGCTGGAGCCCCACTC